TTGGTATCACCGTTGGGAAAGCATAGATTGAAGCACATGGCGGAGCTGAGTTTGAGGTCAAATGTTTTATCTTGGCATACGAGACAGAAATTTCTGCACGAAAGATACTGAAAGCTTTGTATCTCTTTGAAGAGCCTAAGCATTAATAACAAGAATGAATGCCTGTCAGTGACGAACGATCTTCTGCCTTTTCTATCACTATGTGAACACTAGCTGCCTTATATATAGACGTGACACACCGAGTGACACACTCAGTGTCGTCCGTCCGCAAGATCTCTGAGGCTTTCGTCCGCTGCTTTCTGTGGACTACTAACATCTTCAACACGGTGGATGAACGGTTGGTTCCTTCTGCCAGCGTGCCTCTCTGTACGTTGTGCATAAGACGAGGTCTAGACTCGATAAGTACGGAGATGACGTTTGGCGGCGTAGTTTCACAGGTCAGGACTGCAATCATCTTCCAGACTTCCGAAGAAGACGACCTTGTCGAAACGTTAGGTCAATAAAGATTCCACCGTACTGATTTGGGCTTGGCAGAACATCTATTACAATTCACGACTTAAAGGCACCGTCCACCCAAAATTTCAACCTCCATGTTTTTGCCGTTCCAGAGCCTTCTCATACCCCTGAATCCGAATATCAAGTCGAAAATACGCGAAAACCACGAAAATCCCCGTTTTCAGAACCCGCAAGGCGATTTCTTCGGAACGATGATTGGTTAAACGCGCACGGATGGGCGGAACGAACGTCACGCCCACCCGAAAGGGGAGGAGCCAACGTTGCGAACCTCACTTGAAGCGATTTCCGAAGCAATTTTCTCGCTTCGGAAGCAACTTTAGGCAGCGCGAGTTGGACAATCATACAGTTGGGGGCCCCGCAGCTGCTAGGTATCATAATCTCACCAACCCCAATTTGGGTGGACGGTGCCTTTAAGATGTCCAGATTCAGCGAAGAGAGAACCTGGAGTTTTCAGAAAAAAATTTTTTTATAAGGCTGAAATGAATTTTTTGAAAAATTGCAAAAATTAGTTTAATTATTTACAAGTGCAGGCAAGTCATTTGCACAATTTTATAACCCATGTAAGTAACTTTCAAAAGTTTTGCGACCCGTTCTCGTGAGAGGGGGGGGGGCTAAGTCAGCAACAAGCTCTTCCTTGCAAATGATGAGCCTAGTGAATTGCTGCTGCCAGTAGTAAATAGAAGTAGAAGCGCAGTTCGATGACACTTTTACTTTACTAATTCCAAAAGTTTGATGCACAAGTGCAATATGCATTACAAAGAAATGATGAGTGATTGTAAGAAGCTCAAGCTTTTTGTAGATTCGTCGATATGCAGAACAAAGACCGAAAATTATCCTGCAGTAGACGAGTAAGTCATAAAAGTCATAAAAGTTGTTTGCCAGTTAAACTAGCAAAAACAATGTATTCAGGTACTACACGTGCGGAAATGATTCTGACATATTTTAAATTTCAACTTTTGCACTGAGGCCTGCAAAGGTTAGTGTATTCGAACAATTCCAGACGTAAGTTGGTAGGGCTTGATTTCCAAACTATGGAGTTGGTTCAAGCTTATTTTGGTAACAAATATTTTGAGCAGAACTTGGCAGCTGCTCCACATCAAAGGATAGCGCTGCGCAACGTTCGGGTCATCCCCAAGCACCACTTGAAACAGAATTTTCAAAAACTAGCACTCAAACTGCAAGATTCTGAGACAAAAAATTTCTGGGGTTACAAGTAATGTTATTCTCTAAGCTATCGTAAGATTTTTCCAAAGTGCCTCTAAAATGGCGCTCAAAAAATAGTTGACAGGTTGCAGTTAGAATGTTGTTTACAGCAAACGATCAGTTCCACTCACCAGGCATTTTTTTCCTTTTTAGGTCCTCCTTTTCTGTAACTCAGGCAATGTACCATCAATACTGAAATGAAATTGCAAGCTCAATAATAAGAAACCAAAAATCATCCTCATGGAACAATATAAATATATTATAAGCACATCACATCGGCTTTGTGGATAATCTCGTTTCGCCTCAAGAAACTCCAACCTGGATCTGTAACTGCTGTGCCAGGCTCTATTTCGTTAAAACGTCTTTTGTGATGGAGATGACAAAATATTTTTAGCCATATGACGCCTACACTACATAGACATAAAATTCCGTCTATGGGTGTAAAGAAGCCTTCAAAATTATTAAATTCACAAGAAAATCATCTTCTACTTCGGGTCTATTTCTTGTAACTTCTATTCTGACATATAACCCGTCAACTTATGATTTGATTTGAAACTTCGAATTTTTTCCATTTTTTCTAACGATTATGTTGTGACAAACCTATCAAAAGATTACTCCAATCAAACTTTAGACGGATACTGCACTTGGTTTACCGAATTTTACCCTGAAATAAAACTAGAGTGAGTTTATTACCAATGAACATTACTTAAATCGTCGTGCTTTGAAGAACTTATGATGTCTCTTTAGCTTCTTCGTATGCAGACATGATGAAAGTGAAATTTTCGAAACGCATGAAGAGTGTCTCGAATATTGTCAAGGTCAGTTCAGAAAGATTATTTGATTTTTGGAACTTTTTCATTCAAAATTATTTTGCAAAAGAAATGAAGGAGGAAGTTAACCTGAGATGAACATAGGAAGCTTTACCTAGAACTTTGTTTAGACTGGCTGAAACGGTTTTTGTGAAACACAACGCTTTGCAAAAAAAGTTACTTGGCTGAATTGTATAGACTCAATACTTACAGGTACATCACCACCTACAGTATTCACAACTTCAATAGGAACATCTTCTTCAACGATTGCGTCAGCACCAACGACATCAGTGCCAGGTGTGCTTTCAGTGAGATTAGGAAAAGGCATTTATTGAACAAACAAAATTTCAGGCTTGCAACTATGCATTAGAGAGCCAGAGCCACATACTCATGTACTGTAAGTGGCACTTCCTCTAGATGTACAAGTAACCCATCAAAAATCACTGTTTCCTCATTTTAAGGCAATGGCTATGCTTGAGTAATGGATATCATTATGGAACGTTTGAATTCTGTGTGTATTTCTGTCCAGGAGGTTGGTGTCAACGCTTTTTTGACATTTTCAGAATAGCTTAAGGCGCCAGGCTTCAGCACTAAGTTAGCTTAGGTTATGAGAAGTCATTTTAACAGTTTATTGGCTGATGAGCTGCAATTTGCTGTTTTTATACAGTTTTTTTTCAAATTCAATGGATCAGAAGTCCGTCGTTTGCGAAAAATAGCAAACTTAAAATGAGTGAAAACGACCGCGAAAGCACCTAACAAAAGCTTTCAAAATTCTTCTAGGCTGAAAAAATTTAAGGATGCTTACACTTACTATTTAATTTCGCCAAGAGTCGAATTATCACCATCAAACCACAATCATACGTGTGCTACAAAATGCTCATTCGTCTGGCAAATGCACTTCAAGCCCTCGTTCTCTATATCGAACGTTTCCGCCAAAATTCACTTTTTAATAATACCACTATCTTAATTAATCAGAGAAATCAGGAAAGGCAAAGTTCAGTCACAAACGTATTTGTTAAAGGGTGCAACGAATCTTTCGTTGCAACTGTCAAAGATCATTTTAAAAATTAGCAGAGCAGGAAACAACTTCAAAGGTTTGGGCCTGGGATACAATTTTCTTGCGATTTTGTTTTGTTCTGAAGGTTTGCTACCGACTCAAAAGTAAAGCTCTGCTTAGAATTTTCACTGTATTCCAATGTCTGATTAGTGTTCAAATAATTTTCAGCATGCAATTGTAGGAGGAAAATCAAAAAATTCCGTACTTCTTACCAGGGCTTGACACGAGGTGGCTTTTGGAGAACGCAAAAATCGAAGTCCCCTTGACTTTCGGAATTTTTTACGAATTTCCCTTTGACCCTAAACCTTAAAAAAACCTCAAAGACGAAACGTCGACTAAAAAACCCAATTTTTGCGTCCTGGCCTCAAATCCAGCTTGCTTGCAAGCCATCTGTGCCGAGGTCTGCTATCCAGATTGGCCCTTGCACAAATTAAAGGACGTTCATTCGTTTTTCTGCTGGTTTCTTCTTCATTCTTGGGTTCCGTGCAAAAGTATTCTTGCAAGGCTAGAAAGAGGTGGTACTCAATGCTGATCGATTTGAAAAAAATCCAGGTAAAAAAATAAGAGTTCTTTTTTCTCAGCAAGCAAGTTGTTACGAAATCATGATAAGCTGGGTGAACATATCTTTAAAATCTTTTCTGTAACAAATATTACAGCATATACAACACCCGAACAAGCATTAACTTCGACAGAAAGCCCACCTAGGACAGCTTCACCGACAATAGCATCATCTGAGAAAGGTATGATATATGCTAAAGCTATCCCCCACATAAAGTCAATGTATTTTCAAAAATACAACTATCCCCCACATAAAGTCAATGTATTTTTAAAAATACAAAATTGCATGTGGCCATGAACATTAGTGTCTTCCACTTATATGAGCGTAAGGAAGTTTTTTTTGGGAGAAATATCGTTTAGAGGATCAAAATAATCGGCTTTTTCTGTTTCAGGAGTTCGCAAAAAATTAAGGTCATCCTATAAGCTTGCTTGAATACCTCCACTGAATGAACGTATTTATACCGAGATTTGGTGCATCATACTTATCCGAACCTCACTGTTTTGTAGAGTAGTTTTGAGGAAAAAATTCTCCTTTTACTTTGGAAGTTGATGTTTACAAATTCATTGCTTTTGCACTCATTATACCCACTTATTCTCACTGAAATTTCACTGCACATAAAACTTGCCTAAAAAGCAGAATACGAGGTATTGCAGCTAAAGATTGCTAATGTCGTTAATCTTTTTTTAAACCAAGATCTCGCTCTTGAAAATTCAACCACATGACTTTCATCATTCAACGAAACTTGTAGTAAAGGTGGACCTTTAAGTAATCTAGTAAGGGTCACTCAAAAATTGAGATTACTTCAAGTCAAACCGCTATCCGGGCTCATTGGGGGAAAAAGTGCACATGCATACATATGAAAGAGGTTGTGAACGTTCACAAACTCCACAATTTTACAGCTACTACACCTATACCAACCGAAAGTACAGTTGCTTCTGAAAGCTCGTCTCCCACAACCACAGCCACCACATCTACAGCATCGACGTCTACTATAGCGGAAGGTCAGTTGCAAATCTCGCTTACTTCAAATTCGTCCTGGAAAGAACGCGTGAACCCTACGGGAACGTCAGCGACACAGACGACATCCGAAAAAGAAGCAACAACTGCAGACATTTTCAGTCTGCCCACAATAGGTAAGTACCCATCATATTTACGCGGATTTGTTTTAGTCACCAGAGGGCTTAAAAATTCCCAAAATTCCTTGAGTCCAACACACTCAGACCACTACCATAGGTATATAACCTATGCAGGTTAGTGAAAAGCTCTATTTTCGGTACATTTAGAATGCACTTACTATTCCTTGTAACTCTTGGATTTTGCCAATCGCATGGAGCATGCTCGGGGCCTAAAGTTTCATGATTTTCACTTTGTTGCAAGTGCAGCATGCCAAAAGACAAAATCTTTGAATAGAAAGTTATTGGTGGCATGGTTTTTTTGATCTAGGGAAAAACAGAGAAAATTTTCGGCAAATGCGGGTAGAGCATGTTGCAAAGTTGAGATATGCATGATTGTGTTGATATATACTTAGATTTTGAATTATCTGGCAATATTTACCACTAGCTTGCTTACACGGCTCCGCGCGGCCCTGTGAAAACACTGTAATAAAGGTCCCATCCCTATCCCTGTACAGCCTTTCCCTGTGCCCACTTCTAACCTCATTTCCCGTTCCCTCTTCTGTTTTCGAAATCAGCATGCCCACTTACCCCTCCTGTGCCAACTCCCAGCCCTAGCCCTGTAGCTCAAACTTTGCAAAAAATCGATAAAATCGATAAAAGTAATCGATAATCCTGAAAACTAATATTGTATTCGGAATCCCCATGCTCGATTACCCCCCTGTGCCAACTCCCAGCCCCGTAGGTGAACTCTGAAAAAAAAAATCGATAAAAATCGATAAAATCGATATCGATCGATGAGAAAAGTGGCCTATGACACCCGCCGGGGCCCGGTGTGTATGTGTGCCAAGTTTGGTCCGGATCGGTTCAGAAATGGAATTTTCTATTCGGAACATACGTACAGACATACAGACATACAGACAGATAGACAGACAGACAAACAGACATTCAGCTTTATATATAAGAAAATTAGGCTTGTTTTTATAGAGAACAAATCGTGAGCAAAGCAAAATCTATGCATGATGGAAACCACCAATGCATGATTCTCAGTAGAACAACCTCAAAAACAACAATTTCCTTCACCCACTTACTGAGTTGTTCCTTACAGCTCTCAAAAAAAGCTCCAACAATAAAAGCGTCGCAAGGAAATGCGTGTCCTCCTTATCTCTTAAACAAAAAATGAACAAATTCATGAAATTTTTCCATTGCTAGTGCTTGAAATCATCATTGGTAGCCGAAATTACATTTTTTTAGATTGGCAATTTCCAACTGATTCTCCGGATGTTACAGACCCTTGCAAAGATCTCAAGTAGGTTGCCAAGTAGTTTATAATTTCATTTGTGTTGATACCGCTAAATGCTGCTCCCTGCACTATCTTTTTTGTTTTATGGGGAATTTTCAAAAAAAACTTATCAAAGATTGTTTTGTGGAGATTCGTCAAAAGTGCAAAGATTGTAGAAGAAACTTCGTGAGATTCCGCTGTTTGTAACGTCTTTACAACAATCTTATAGCAAAAAGCAATTTATAAAATGTGCTTTGTGAAAGTCTACAATTCTGTTACAGTGAATTCGAACCTTGCGTGAGTAATCCTCCCTCGACTCGCCCTCCGAAGCTAAAGGACGACGAACAACAGAAGCTAGTAACACTTATACCGTGGGGTAAAGGATCCAAGTGGTCATACCCAGATGATGGAAGCCAGCGAAAAGTGTGGCCCATTCCACCAAAGAAGAAAGGAAAATCAATCAAGGAGCCAAACTCTGTTTATGAAGAAGAGGAAAAAGTAGTGTCTCCACAAGGGAGAGGTGAATGGGCAGATCCTGATGGTCAGCAGAAGGGGCTCTTACCACCACTGTTAACAAAAGGACTTGATTCGGAAGGAAAAGTGATAAAAGCGTAAACCAGGGACATTGGGATTTTTGTATCATCAAAAGGATAGGATTTTTCATTGGTTGTTAGTTTAGCATATTCGGAAGTTGTTGGCTTGCGTAATAAATTTTTTCTGTAAAAGTGTATGACAAAAGACATTGATAGCAATATCTTTGATAAAGGACATTCTTTGGAACTATGAAATGTCTTGTAGCGTTATTACTCTTACTGATCATTGCAAAGGTCTAGCTGTAAAGAAAGAAACACTGAGAACAATGACAAAAAAACTGACAGTTCTTTAAATAAACATGTCTATCGCAACACATATTGCTTGACATTCGCATTTGCCGCATGGGAAACATCATGAGTACTTGATAAAAATCTATTCAATTTTAAACTCAGAAATCCGCGATTTACACTTAGTATAAGATGAGGAAAGAATTTCACCACAGAGTTTTACGAAGATACAGTAAAAGAGGCTAGAGTATCTACGGCAGTCCCTCCCGCCAGCCTTATAATACGGTAGCGCGGCACAGTCGTCACGGCAGTTAATCGGGAAGCCAACTACCAGTTCAGGTGACCTTTCAAAAGCATAGAAGTATAGGCAATCGTAATATCAACTGCCGGTTGGGATTGGGGATCAGTTCAATTCACTCGATCTGAAGAGTTCAATACAGCCTATATTTCTTGAACCCGAAACCATAGTGAAGAAACTATGATAACAGCTCCTGTGTCTTTGATACCTTTCTTAGTTAATTAATTTTACCAGCCAAAATTTATCTCTTTTTTACAAGAATGAAAAATAGTCCAAAGTTTACAGCGCAATGTTCCTTCTTGTAGGCTTAATATGGCTTGAGATGTTAGTTATTCCGGCGTTCTGCCTCAAAAGAACCTCTATATAATTAGCACGTTCTCATTCTTGAAATAAGTGTTCGAAGAGTCGGTAACATGCCAGAATCGTCAAAAGCACCTCTTATAACGTTTCCCTGAGTAGTAGCCAAATTTTTGGAAAAAAGGAAACAACCCTTTGCCTTCTAGAAAAGTTAAGCATTTCATGTGGAGAGTTGTGCCTTAAAGTTCCACATCTTCTATTGCTGTAATTTTAGCTTTTTATGACTTTCATATGGTGCATTATGAATATCATATGTAAAGTTAAGGCGTTTGTAATGCTTTAGTGATGGATATCATTTGGATCCTTTGAACACTGTACAAATTTCTAGAAGGTCAGTATCAGGACTTTTTCATGTAGAGGAATGTTTGAACCCAGCCTAGTAGGACATAAGTTTTTATTAATTAGTATTGACACTTTTGTTACAAGCAGGGGGCATGAGACAGACTCCATTGAGCTTCTTACTAATGTATTTGTACATGGTTCAAACAAGCTTAAACCCCATCTATTCTCGACACATCTGGGAGCCAGACTTGATCTGTTGGTGGATGTGTTTTGGTTATTCGTTTATCACTGTTCAGGTTCTGAGTATATCGTTTTGTTGTCTAAACTGTGGAACGCCTTGTGCGTATTGAATAAATAATAAAATAAATAAACTAAAAAGAAGGACAATGCATTTTGATTGCTAAATAAATATGTGGAGCTATTTCGTGCTTAAGCTATCAGCTTGTTTAGATGTGGTAGATCGTTTAATCCAATGCGATGTTGAAGCAAATAGTCGAACATCTTTAGAGTGGTTTTTTGTCCATTAAAAAAACACTTCTTTGGAATTTTAGTGTACCATACTCAAAACGATATATTATAAATACAGCATAGAACAAACAGTTCACAACGGATTAAGCTCTTTTTTCTACATACAAGTAAAGAGTTGAGAAAACTATCTCAAACAGTTACAAGGGCAATTCTTTATTGGTAGTGTTCTTCACCGCATTAAACATCAGTTGAACTCTGCAAGTGGGGCGCCTTAAGATCAGAACTTCAATGTCTTTTTAGTCTCTGTTTCAAAAGTCTGCATAGTAGTCGATATTTATTTATTTATTGAATACACACAAGTGCGCCAAAAATTGATAAAAAACAACAACAACTAATGAATGAATTTTGATCACATCTCCTTGTTAGGCTGACCAGGTCGTTCTCTTCCATTGAAGGTGAGGAAAGCCGCCGAGATCCTTTTCCCATTTCCGGACGCGATTAACTGGTAGCACTTACCGGGACATGGCTGACCACTTAACCCAGGACGGACGAATCCATCAGGGAACCCCGGGCGAACGGGCAGGGGGACCTCAAGGCAGGGAGCTCACCAACCTTTGGCATCCTCAAACGGCTTGCTGCGAATTCAGAAAATAGAGAAGATGTAACCGCTATCAAACATCGACAACCTTGATAGTTTCCAAACGTCTATTTTCTTCAACTTTTTGCGAAATTCAGCAGTATACAAGAAATCAAATCTATTGGTAGAAGACTTAGCCACCATGCCGCATGGCATATAAATGAATCAAAAGCGGTGGAGAGGATTTTGGTAGTCTACCGTACGTTATAGAAAAGCCTCTGTTGCGATCACCAGAAGATCTGAAGACCCAGTATTTCCTCGGAGTTAATCTAGTCTCTAGACGGAGTATGCGAAAGCCAAAAATAAGATCATTGCACACCTGCCTGTATTTTGAGCTACGTAATCCCAAAACAGATAGTCTGAGGGCCGCATGCACTAACCTCCCCGCTGGGGAGGGATCGCAGCTCAAAAAAAGCTTTATATTTCAAAACTCCAGATACCTGGATTTCACTTTGTGTATCTATCCGTAAGTATTCCTACTACCCTTCACTATGAACGTGTTGAACAAGGGCGAGAAGCTGTACAAACCACATTTTCCAGCTTTTGTATGATCCCTGATGATCCCCGGCGCCTTTCTTTAAAGTCATTTTTCTTTCTCCGAAGTTAACGAATAACCTCCAAAGTTGTGCAGATTATCTAGCCCGACAGTGCTAAGCATGTTGCTGATAAGAACAAATGATGTTTTAAAGTCATGAAATCTTCGATGATCCACAGGTCGAAATTTGAGGTTTATCGAAAAATTCGACTTTTCAAAAACTCATTTGTTCTCATCAGCAACATGCTTAGTACTGTTGTGTTAGACGTTCAGTACAACTTTGGAAGCTTTTCGTTAACTTCGGAGAAAGAAAAATGACTTTAAAGAAAAGCGCCGGGGATTATAAGGGATCATACAAAGCTGGAAAATGCGGTTCGTACAGCTTCTCGCTCCTCTTCAACATGTTCTTAGTGAAGGGTAGTAGGAATACTTAAGGATAGGTACACAACGTGAAATCCAGGTATCTGGAGTTTCGAAATATGAAGCTCTCTTTTAAGCTGCGATCCTCTCCCCAGCGGGAGGTTAGTGCATGCGGCCCTAAGTATGTAAGGAGGTAGGCATTGAGCGTGATCTGAGCTGGGGAAGCATCTGTAGAAAACGACTCTGGTAAAGATTTTCTGCACTTTGCTTAGCTTATCACTGTTCTTTTGAAAAAAGGCTCTATACTGGAGACGCATAGTCTAGGAGAAGCAAAACATAGGTTTTGTACAGTTTTGTCAGGAGCTTTGGATCGTTGCAGTGATGCTTCGAAAAATTAGAAATAGGACCAAGAGGGCTTTCCTAGAGACTAACTCCACATGGAAAGAAAACCTGAGTTGATCATCTACAAAAACACCCAAGTCTTTAGTAACAACACAAAGATCCAAATCGTTTCCGTCATACTTGTCACAGTAGTAAGGAAAATTCGTCAAGTGCATTACTTTCGACTTCATCGCGTTCACAGAAAGACCCCACTCCCTTGACCATGCAGACATTCCTTGCATGGAAGCAGAGATTGTTTCATGCGCTTTTACCGCTTCCTCTTCGTCGTAACCGAAATAAATTTTAAATGTCATCCGCAAGAATTTGGATTTTTAAATTTGTATGTGTCTTTAGGAATGACGGTAACTCAGCGGTGTAAGTGAGAAAAAGTAAAAGTGAAAGTATGCCCCCTTGAGGCACTCCACTAGTGCAAGGGTATCTGTGCGAAAAACTGTTCCCTACTCGGACGGTCATGCCTTCTTCCAGATAAGATTTGAACCAAGAGAGCATTTGGCCGCGTATCCCATAATTTTCGAGCTTAAGTAATTTGGTATGATCGACTCTATCGAAGGCTTGGATAGATCAAAATAGACTAAGTCCACTGACTTGCCATAGCTTACAGCGCTGATCCAGTCAAAAACAGAATCAGTCAATAGTGCAGTGGTCATCCTCCAGGCAAAAATCCCATTTGAACACAAGGAAGAATTTTGTTTTTATCTAACCTGTCAAAAATCACGTTTTCAATTATTTTTTTAGTATCTTGCCCGAAGGTGATGTAGTACTGATAGGCCTAAAGTTTGTAAGGGCGTCATTGTTTTCTAGCTTCGGTATAGCCGTGACTAGAGCCTCTTTCCAAATTTTCGGCACCATTCCCGTGGATAAAGACACATTGAATACAATAGGCAGCGGAAAAGCTAGGGCACTGGCACACTTTCCATATTTTATTTGAGGAATGCCGTCGTACGCAACTGTAGCTTTAGGCTTCAGCTTATGCAAGACTTCATAAACTTTTGCAGGATCTATGCTTATATCAGGGCAGTGAGAAAAATTTAAATTTTTGGTGCGAAAGGAGAATTTTCATTGAAAACCGCGTCAGAAGTTTTGTTTAAAGAAGGCAGAAAAACATGCGCCCAGCGCTTCTGCTTTTTCTACGTCACTATTGAAAAAATTTCCTTGTCCGTAACTTAAAGTCGAAATTTTCCGTTGTCCTTCAGTTTGACACCTAAAATATGCGAAAGGACCTTTGAAATTGCACTTTGATTCGAAAGAAATTTTCTAAGGTCATGACTATCCTTGCAAACTTTTCGATAAAGATCATTGCACAAGGGATTGACTAATTGTGAGAAAAGTCTTCTTTTCTGTTCAATAAGATTTTGGATATGCGTAGGAGATATTACTTCAGTTGGATAGGTTCGAGACGAAAAGGCACATATCTGCAAAAGATTTGGTACAGTTCTTTACAAAAGCGGTGATAAA